CACTGTGAAATATTGGTTACCACAACAATTAATTCCATAGCAAAATATTATTTTATGAAACAATTAAAATAGTTAGGAAATATCTCTTTTAGCAACAACTAATATTGTTGCAAAATACATATTTTATAACAACTTTTATTCGTTACAAATATTTCTTTAAATAATAATTGAAAGTTGTTTTCTTATATTACTTTTAACAACTTGTTGTTTCTAAATATCATTTTCAGAAATAATTATGATTGTTGTAAAATATAACTTTTGGTAACAATTTATGGTATTGTTAAATAATACTTTTGGCAACGACAAATAGTAAAGCTAAAGGTAATAACGTAATTATTATTTTGTTGTTATTAATATTTACCTATGACTCATAAGCGTAGGTATTTCTCTTTACTTATGGTATTTTAGATGTAGGTATAGGCTCATTAAACATTTACTTACAAAATGTAAAAGCGTAAGAATATGTTCAAAAGTGTAGCTAAACATCTATAGTTACAGGACATATACTTACACTTTTTTTATTGTAGGTATAAGTCTTGAGAGGCATATACTTACGGATTTTTATCATATATCTACGGTTTTTGTCCATAGCTAAATGGCAAAAAGGCTGTAGTGTGTAGTATTTATATGTACTTGAGGATGTAAAGGGTGGAGGTATCCCTGGTACCTTTTAATAAAAATTATAGTTTCCTTTGTTTATAGAAAAAAAGAAAAAAGAGTTTGTAGTATTACTCATTTGTGATAAACTTGCCCATTAATTCGAAAGATAAAAGGAAAATAGTTGGTACTGATGTTGCCCTAAAATGTGGGACTAGATGAAAATGATTTTAAAGTCAGGGGATTGATAAAATGCTGTTTGCCTAAAAATCTGCGTTTATTTGTGAAAAGAGAACATATGCGTTTTAATTTTTCTACGGTCTCTTTCTTCACAAGAATATATTTTATTCAGATGGAACAAAAACTTTTATTATCATTATCAAAAGTATAAGAGGTGCTCCACCCAAACATTTACATCCACACAGTTTGTAAAATCTACATTTACAAAACAAAAGCTTGGTGAAAACAAACCAAGATTCAACCACTACAAGAAGGATTCAAATATTCTTGGCACAAAAGTTGTCGTAAAGAGCACTAATGATAGAAAGGGAACATAATACCTTTCAATTTGCCACAAATCCAAGCAAAGGTGCTTCTCTAGATCATCTCAAATAACCAATTCTCGTCCGAATTAAGTTGCTGAAGAATGAACCATAGAATTTCTCATATACCCATATCAACCATGATACAACAAAAAGGATGGTTGCTTTTACGTAGTTCTTAACAGTACTAATGTTGTGGGTTATACTTAATAATTGAATTAAATTTGTTAGAACACACAATAATTCCCACCCACCATTTAATAACTTTATTTATTATTATTCTTTCATCTCTCTAAGCCTCTTTTTTATATTATTCCTAATTAATCATTTCAATCTATCACTTGCTCCAAGGGTCCGTTAAATCTTTCCTAAGTCGGACTAAGAGATGGAGAGAACTAGGGTTAGAGTGAGAGGCGTGGTGGCAGAGGAAGACAACGGCAAAGGCCTATGTAGGATTGTAGGATTTGCTAACAAGATTCTAGGGTAGACAAAGACCTTCTTTTATAATTTTCCAGAGAAATGGGAGGCTAAAGACTTATGGCACTGTTTCCAGATGTATGGAAAAGTTGTAGATGTTTATGTGCCAATTAAGTGAGATGAGTGGGGAAGAAGGTTTGGTTTTGTGCATTTGTTAGGGGTGTAGAATGAGAGTCAAAATGAAAATGAGGCTTAATGAGATTTGGATTGGTTCATACAAGATAAGAGTGAAGATAGTGGATGATAGATCAAGCTATATTTTAGGGAATCGAAGGGTACAAGGTGCAGTAAATGAGAGTAGAACAAAGCAAAATGTGGATAGATCGATACAACAGGGCATTCATATCCTCATGCGATGGTTGGAAAAGGAATGGGGAGAGAAAGTATTCTTGTATGTAAAAAGCCATCGAGAAGGAAGGAAATGTTTGTGGATAATTTGGAAAAGGCACCAATACAGGTGAGGCAACAAGAAGAGGAGGAAGTTGGATCTTGTGGTATGATAAGTGCAAAAAAATGTTTAGAGGAAAACATGGGTGTAGAACTAGTGAGGAAATCATTGAATTTTCCCAATGAAAGAAGAGCTCTAGTGGCTTGAAAGGGGTATGGTGGCCATTATAAAGCCATTGGCATCAATAATTGGTATTCAAGAGAGAATGGATGTGTATGGCAAGCTAATCACTTTATCACCACTAGGTGGAAGAAAGGTGTTGCTAATTGAAAAAGCATCAGGGTATTTGGTCGAGTATATGAAGCTGAATGAGGGGCTTTTTGATTTGTGGTTTAAGTCTATTCAACCATGGGAAAAGGAACCATAGGAATGAAGAAGAATGATATGGCTACGTATATCTAGTACCCTTTGAAAGCTTGGTGTAATAGGTGTTTTGAGAAGAATGGAGGAACAGTGGGAAAAGTGCTGTTAATTCATGAGGCCACAAGACAAAATCAATTTTATGTAATGGGAGAGCATTAGTGCTATGTGCTAAAAAGCATAAGATATCAAAAAAAGTTATACTAAAGGTGGAAAAGTGGTTGCATGAGATAGAGGTGGTCAAGGAAGAATGGCATTTTGATCCTAATTGTTGGTTGTCGAAGGGTAACTAGTAGAGTGAGTTAGAAATGGATTTAGAATATTCTTCACCGTAGAATGCTGAGGATTATCATAATGTTGAGATTAGTGGCAAAGAAGATGTTAACATTGATGACCAGCAATAAATGAAGGAAAGTAATTTGAATTCAAATATCGGACATATCGAGGAAGAAAGTGTTAGTTCTCAAGGGGTAGGTTTTAGAAGGGATGCAGTTCATGGGCTAACCAAGGATAATGGGTTGTTAAGGGTTAGGCAAGTTGGACTAGGAGATGACAATGGGCTAGGAGTAAACTATTCTTAAGGAATGGTAGGGAGAAATAACGGGAAGGGGCTTAATGAGGTTATTGATGGGGGTTGCCTTTAAATCGAGAATAAAAAATTAAGGATCTGGTGGACAAAAGGCGAAGAAAGATAGAGGACTATTATCTGGAGAGTTTGACGAAGATTTGGGCCAAAAGGACATAAGGGGTAACAACGAGGACAAGGCAAGACAAGGCAATGACGAAGGCGGATGGTAGGAGCTCAAAAGGCCATGGAAGATAAGGTAAATTTGGTTGGCAGTGTTTCTCTTTCAGATGAGTGTATTGCAAATAGAAACAAGGTGATTCAAAGAGAGATGAACTTGCATGAGGTGAAAAGGATAATTAGTGTGGGGAAAAGGTTGGGTATTCAAATTCATGAAAACAAAAAGCAAGTGTAGTCTCAATTGTTAGAGTTAGAGGAATGAGAAGATGCAGGGGAGTAGAGGGGGAAGTAGGTTTAAGGGTAGGAAGAGTGGGTTTGTGAGTTGGGTTTGGTTAATGAAGATTGTGTCTTATAATGTTAAGGGTTTGGGTAGTATGTTGAAAAGGAAGGAAATGGGAAAACTAGTTAGAGTAGAAAGACCAGATTTTTTCTTCTTACAAGAGACTAAGTTAGAAGAGGTGGATGATGGCCTATGTAGATTGTTGTGGAATTTGGATGAGTTTGGCTAGGTGATGAAAAGATCGACAGGAGCTTCAAGTGGGTTGCTGTGCGTTTGGAATAAGATGAATTTTGTTAAAACATGTCATTTCATAGAGGATGGTTTTCTAAGAATATTAGGGGAGTGGGGATTGCATAAGGTAAAATGTAATGTTGTGAATGTGTATGGCCCAAATGATAAACAGAAAAAGGTAAAGCTGTGGGATGAGTTAAGGAATATGATTATAAAAGAGAGAGGGTGATAGTTGATTGCAGATGATTTTATTTCTATGAGAAGTCTTGAAGAAAAATGGGGACAAATAGGAGAAAGCCCAGATATGAAGGATTTCCATACTTTTATCTTGTCTACAGGATTAGTTGATATTAAACTTTCAAATCAATGTTTTACATGGTATTGAAACATACTATTTCTGATCACCGTGCAATCATCTTGAAAACAAGAACAGTTGATTAGGGACCAAGGCCATTTCGGGTTTTGGATGCATGGTAGCAACATCTGGATTTCGAGAAAGTAATTGAGGATAAGTGGATTGAGATGGTAAACAAAATTTAAAGGTGTTAAAAGAGTTTTTAAAGGGGTGGAATAAGAAAGTGTTTGGAGATATGGAAGCTCAATATGAAAAGGTTGCAAAAAAAAGGGTTGAGCATATTGATATGAAGAATGAGGAATTTGATTTGGAAGAATTTGAGCTAGTTCAAAGGCAAGAAGGTTTCCAGGAGATGTGGGATATTATGAGGAGAAAGTAAGTTACATGGAAACAGAAGTCAAGAAGTAATTGGGTGCATATGGGTGATGCCAATACACGATTCTTTCATAAAGTTGCAAATAGTAGAAAGGCTCAAAATAGTATTTCAAGATTATTGTGTGATGGTAGATGGGTGGAAGATCTAGAAGTGGTTAAGAAAGAGGTGGTCAATTATATTAGCTAGTAATTTCAAGGAGACTCATGAAATAGACCTAAGCTTTCTGGGATTAGTTTCAAGAAAATTTTTGAGGAGAAGAAACAATGGCTTGAGTGACCATTTTTAGTTGAAGAGATTGAGGAAGGGTTGTGGAGCTATGAACGGTCTAAAGCACCGGTGTCAGACAAGTACAATTTCAATCTGCTTAAATTTTCTTAGAATAACATAAAGGAGGACTTTATGAGTTTTTTTTTAGAGTTTCATCAGAATGGTAGATTAGTTAAAGGGTTGAATTCATTTTTTTTTTTTTTACCTTTAATTCTTAAGAAGTTTAATTCAAGGGAATTAAAGGATTATAGGCCCATTAGCTTCATTGGATGTGTGTATAAGTTGTTGGCAAAGGTGCTTGCTGACAGGTTTAAGACTATGATGTCAGAGATAATCAATGAAACTCAGTCTGCTTTCTTAGGAGGTCGCCAATTGGTTGATTGTGTTTTGGTGCTAAATGAGGTTGTGGAGGAGGTTAAAAGGATAAAACAATGAACTTGTGTTTTTAAGGTAGATTTTGAGAAGGCGTATGATTGTGCTACTGGTCATTCTTGGATTGGATGATAGATAGATTTGGTTTTGGAATCAAGTGGAGAGGTTTGGTCATGGAATGCCTCTCAACTACTAGGATTTCAATTCTAGTAAATGGAAGCCTGACAGAGGAGTTCAAGGTAGGAAAAAGACTATGACAAGGTGATCTTTTATCACCTTTTGTTTTTTGATGATTGGGGAGGGACTACATGGATTTGTTCAAAAAACAATGTTGGAGGAAATGCTTCACAGTATAGTGATTGGCAAAAGGAAGATAGTTTTATGTTTACTTCAATTTGCTGATGATACAGTTATTATGGGCACAACTAATACTGGGAATATATTTATGGTTAAAACTATTTTATGTTGGTTTGAGTTGATGTCTTGTTTGAGGTTTAATTTTAGTAAGAGTAGCATTTGTGGGTACAATGTGTCGGTGAGATGGTTGAAAGGATCAATAGGTATTTGTGATGTGGTGTTGGTGAATCACCTTTTATTTATTTGGAAATGCTCGTAGATGGAAAACCGAGTAAGAAACTATGGGGGCCGATGGTGAATAAATTTCGTGCCAAGCTTGCTATTTGGAAGTCTGCTTTGTTATCATTTGGTGGTCGCCTTACTTTACTCAATTTGATACTTTCTACTTTACCTATTTTTTATAGGTCCATGTTTTTAATGTCAAATTTTGTGGTTGCTAAGTTGAGTAGCATTCAAAGAACATTTTTGTGGGGCAAGGCTGAGTTAAAAAAGAAGGTGTCATGGGTTAAATGAGATTATGTTTGTTGTAGTAAGGCAAATGAGGGCTTAGGGGTGCTAGATTTACATAGGAAAAATTGGGCATTACTAGGGAAGTGGTGGTATAGATTTGGAAATAAGGTAGAGAGCTTATGGAAGTAGGTAGTGAGGGAAAAATATTATGGAGGTAAGCGGGAGGTGGAATTATGGCTGTTGAGAGTTTAAGGGTGTCTAAGATTTGGAAGGATATTATTAGCATAGGGGGGGGGGGGTATAAGGCTTAGGAATATGTTAGTGGAGGGGTTTAAGTGGGAGGTGGGTGAGGTAAACCATGTGGGATTTTGGCAAGAGCTGTGGGTTAGGGATAAAGCTTTGAAGGACTTATGTCCAAGATTATTTGAGTTGTCCATCAATAAAGAGGGTAACTTTTGTGAAATGGGGGTATGGGAGGGGGATAGATGGTGTTGGAATGTGGAGTGGAGAAGGGGGAGAATAGGACAAGAAATAGATAAGGAAGAGGTATTGTGTGAGGTGCTAGGTAGTTTTTGGGTAAAGACGAGTGTTGAGGATTGTTGGAGATGGGTGCATGATTTAGATGGTACGTATGTGGTGAAGAAAGCTTATGAATTTTTAGCTCTTACAAGGTGTGTTTAGAGGATAAGCTTTGTAAGCTAATTTGGTGCAAGTTAGTGCCTTCTAAAGTGGGTTTTTTTGGCTGGAAATTGTGTCTTGATAGGCTTTCAACTAAGTGAAATATTTGCAAACAAGGGATGTCTCTATAGGACAAGGAATTATTGTGTGGTTTTTGTAATGGTATGGTGGAGGAGGCTAAACATTTATTTTGTATGCGTAAAGAAGCATTGAGACTTTGGGTAGAGGTGTTGCATATTGGTGGGGTATGGAGATTGTTATGTCTAATACAATTGTGGGTGTGGCAGAAATTTTTGTACATAGTTTCGGTAGGACAGTAGGGAAGGAGATGGATGTTTGTATTTTTCTTGTTGTTTCATGGTATTTATGATATTAGAAAAATGTTAAGGTGTTTCATAATGATGTCAATGTTAGGGACAGATTGTTAGATACGGTACAAGCTAAAACATTTTTTTGGATTGAGAATAAGGTGAATGGTTATGTGTTTTCTTTTTATGAGTGGAAGGTCAGCCCAGTTGAGTGTGCTCGGTCAGTGAGAAGGCACAAAAGATTGCTAAAGCTGTTCCATAAACAGCAACAGGGGAGTGCATGAAGGAAAATGCTCGGTTGAGTGTGTTGGTTTACTGTGATGTTGCAAACTGCTACTGGAGCTAAAAATAAAATATTAAAAAATATTATCGAATGAAGCCTTTAAAAGTTCGTTGGTTCTTCAATGATTAAAAAAATCACGCACTTGCTTCAGCATCAATAAGTTTAGCCTGATTTCAAACCAAAGTATTTTGTTTTTAGTACAGGCCGATGGTCGTAGGGTTTCAGGAATTCCCAAAGCTACCAAGAGGCTAGTAGGAGTTCTTTTTCTAGAATAAAACAAAAAGGCCTTAGAGTTTTGCACTCAGATTGTTTGGGTTTTCATTTGTATTTCTCAGCTTAACCCGTTTTATAGGTGAAGGTGGGAATGGATACGGTTATTTATGCTCCATTTGTAGCCTGCCAGAAATTTTTTGATAGTTGGAATCTTTGGATAGTTATAAACAAATTTTTTATTGGAATGCAATTCCCTACTTTCATTTAGAAAAATTAAAAAATAATAAAAAAAAAGCTTAGTGGAAATTGATATTCATGGTTTTTCTTTTATATATATATATATATATATATATATATATTTCTTTTGCCAACAAAGTGAAAGGTTTGAATTCTTATAATTAATTAAGAACTAAGATGTTTAAATTTAATATTTTTGAATTTTTAGGTTGATGTAGGGTATATACCTTAAAATTACTTAATAAAAATGAGATTACATTTAAGGTATTTATAAATTTTTTTAAAATATAAAATGATAAATTACATAATAAAAAATAACATTCTCTTTTTTTACTCCTCTTTACTCACCTTAAAATTTAAAATTTAAAATTTAAATCATTTAAAATATAAATAAATAAAATGTACATAAACTGATTTTGAAACATTTTAACTATAAAATATTACCCACACCAAAAATTACAGATTGATTTAAAATTTTTTTAATTCTTACAGAGTTACAATAATGTAAGTTGATTTTGAATCCGATTAGTAAACAGTACATTGATCAAGTACCACACATGATTTGGCTCTCAGATATTGTATTGTATTAGTATTTGTTTATTATGTTGCTAACAGCCGCCTTCTCTTGGGTACTTTTTAAAAATAATTTCCTCTGTAAATAAAAGAACATTTATGAGTATTGACAAATAACTTATGCTGTGATCTAACATTAAAAAAACCTATGCCATGACATAATCACCTCACCATTTCCTGTTAAAAAATCCCAATTATCCATTGCATCTCTTCTGTTAGGACGTTCACAAGTGCATGCGTCTGTATTCACAATCTGATTGATAAAATTTCCGGATTTGGCATTTTATATAGGGGTGGGTGTGTTGCAAGCTGTTATTGAAATTAGGACTGAAAAATAATAGACTACGCATTATACAATATTTTCTTCAAATAATGAAATCTCTATCATTTAACTAGCTCCATCCAATCATGGATCAGTTACAAAAATCGTAAGTATAAATTACTGTTTTTATTTTTTCCTCTTATACACGGGTAAACTAGAAATTAAAACAATATAAGTTACAATAGTACTCCTACAAAAAAAATTTTAAATTATTAAAAATCTAAAACTCTAAACTAAAAAACTCGAGTTTAAATTTTAAAATAAATTAAAAAAATTATAAATATTATAAATATTATTCATTGTATAATTTATTATTTGAAATAAGAAAAGAAACAATATATATACTATAGTAAAGTTTTAAAAAAATTGGCGAGTGGGGCATTATGTTACGGCCATAATGAAATATCCTCCACATTTATATGAGTTGCTACTGTACTAGTGGTTTACTTAACGAGTAAGTGAATGGATTGGTAAAAAACCCTTTTAGTTTAATTAAAAATTTTGATTTTAAGTATTAAAAATATAATTTTATTAAAATTTATAAGGAAGAATTTTGTTATCTATTGAATCTTACACGACTTAAATTTAAATTAATCGATGGGTCACTGAGCTTTCGGAGATTAAGTGATCATAAAAAAAAGAAAAAAAAAACTGTGCTAGTGGTTTTATTTTATTGCAAGGTGGTGGTAGTGGCTGAGGGATGCATATTTGCTCATGACTTGAATATTTATTGAGTGAAAAGAAAGAGCAGAAAGCAACTTGAGGAGAGAGGGTGTTGTCATCTACTATTCCCTTACACTCCCCTCTCTCTCAATCAATTGGAGCTCTTGATCTTCATCCTGTTGAGCATTTTCTCTATCAGTTTCTATCTGCAAGTTTTCTTCTCTTTCTCAGGTAAAAGAATATCTTTGCCTTTGTCACTTCTTTTTTGAGGTTTTTGCCTCAGTACAAAACCAAGGAAGTCCTCATGGATGGTTCTGTCTCCCCAAATTCGGACTCAAAGGATTCTGAGCTGCTCAAACAAGAATCTCAGGCATCCAAAAGAAGGTGGGTACTTTTTTTCCTTTTTCTTTTCCATTTGTTTTCTGAAAAGAAAAAAAGACGGGGAATCTTGCAGCATTGGTTTTGCCCCCACATATTTAATGATTTTCATTATTTTTCCAGGAAGGTGGTTGAGAAGACTGTTGTTACAGTGAAGATTAATGGAGAAAATGAAGGGAAGCTAAAGAATGAAGGGCTGCCTTCTGATTCATGGTCTTGGAGAAAATATGGGCAAAAACCCATCAAAGGATCTCCTTATCCAAGGTGTATTTCACGCGTTTAACCTTCAAATTTTCATGGGCTCTTCATTAATTTTCCCAAAAAGTTCTAAATCCCCAAGATTTCCTTCCTGAGTCATGTTTCCGTTAATTGCATGAAATATTTGAAGGCAGAATTGGGGATTTCTTTCAATGGAATGTCTGTTTCTCTCAACTCAGCCATTTTCTCACAAGTTTTGATGATGCAATTTTGCAGGGGGTATTATAGGTGCAGCACGTCAAAGGGCTGTTCAGCCAAAAAGCAAGTAGAAAGATGCAGGACAGATGCTTCAGTGCTCATCATCACTTACACCTCAAGCCATAACCATCCAGATCCTGATGTCCACCACACCACCAAACTGCCCAAAAAGCCTCAATCCACTCAAGATTATCATGCCAAGACACCCAAACCAGAACAAGAACCAGAAGAAACACAAAAGCAATCCATTTTTGAAGATCAATTTCACTACTTAAAATCCTCACTAGGCTCTTCCCAAGACATCATAATTAACCAGGAAGACCCTTTCACAGAGAATTTAGAGAAACCCCATGAAGAACTTGGGTTTCTCTTGGATGAAGAGCCCCTGTCTGCTTGGCCCCATCTCATGACCACATTTTCATCATCATCATCATCAACACCCAAATTAGAAGAAAATGACTTCTTTGATGAGCTTGAAGAACTGCCCACTTCTTTGGGCTTCACCAGCCTCATGAGGAGCAAGTTTTTCG